TGGGTTCCCGATGGCCCCCGACTGTTACTTTGAGGCGGAGCGACAGGGCAGGTTGAGACCACCTAGGAGAGAGGTGGGCCTGGCCCTGGTCGGCGTTCGCAGATACTTAACACGTTTAACGAGATCTTGGTATTTGATCTGAGTCTTGCTACTGGCCTATACGCACTAACCATCTACGCGGGGACAGTTATGGGCACTCGACGTCGTGGTATCAGCCGAAGCCTTCGTGACGTCAGCAACGGAGCGGCGCGTGCTGGATTGGACTGGAACGCCTACTAGGCTAGGTCTGCTTCCGGCCGCCCACACAACGTGCAGGTGTGCTAAGGGCGATGGGCCCAGACCCCTGGGCGCTTAGGTTTAGACCGGCGTGCTGACCTCTTTGTTGGTCTAGGTGGGGCTGCGACATGTTGATCTTCCGAGGCCGGGCATGACCCAGAAAAGTGTGTCCGGCCAAATGGGATCGAGCGTGTTGGGTTATGTGGTGCACCCCTGCAAGGAAGTTAATCTATTCGAATAGCCGTGATCTTCGGTAACAGGACGATTTGGAGTTGTACCTTGACCTTATGACAACTAGAACCGGATACTTAATAAAACACACGCTTCCAAGTGACAGATACAACCGGTGGTCGCTCTCTCACAGGGCGACGAGGGGAGGATCATCGGTTAGGATTATGCTACGTGATGATACTTGGAGGACTTCAGTCTACTCTCTTCTACATGCTGCAAGACGGAGGCTGCCAGAAGTGTAGTCTTCGAAAGGATTAGTTATCCCCCTCTTATTCTGGCATTCTGCAGTTCAGTCCACATATGATACCCTTATTCCATTTGATACCCATGCATATGTAGTGTAGCTCCTTGCTTGCGAGTACTTTGGATGAGTACTCACGGTTGGTTTCTCCCTCTTTTCCTCCTATCCCTTCTACCTTGTTGTCACAACCAGATGCTGGAGCCCAGGAGCCAGACGCCACCGTCGACGACGACTCCTACTACATCGGAGGTGCCTACTACTACGTGCTGCCCGCTGACGACGACCAGGAGTAGTTAGGAGGATCCCAGGCAGGAGGCCTGCGCCTCTTTCGATCTGTATCCCTGTTTGTGCTAGCCTTCTTAAGGCAAACTTGTTTAACTTATGTCTGTACTCAGATATTGTTGCTTCCGCTGACTCGTCTATGATCGAGCTCTTGTATTCGAGCCTTCGAGGCCCCTGGCTTGTAATATGATGCTTGTATGACTTATTTTATTTGTAGAGTTGTGTTGTGATATCTTTCCGTGAGTCCCTGATCTTGATCGTACACGTTTGCGTGTATGATTAGTGTACGATTGAATCGGGGGCGTCACAGACGCCAAGAGCAATGCCACCAAGAGAATGGAGAAATCTGATGTGAGGTGGTCGGCGTTGATGACGAAGCAGGACGTCAAGCTCGACCTTCTCAGGACCAACATCACCGCGAAGAAGAGGAACACCGACCTGGCATTCTTGATGGGGGGAGACACGTCGACGATGAACAAGCGGGTGAAGGCGTGGTACTTGGTGGAGCGCGACCTCATCTTGAACCAAATGTCGGGACCGGCGGAGACCACCGCTCCTACGTCGAGCCTGAACACTGAAGTTGTGCCCACGCCGACGCCGAGCTCAAGCACTGAAGTTGTGCCCACGCCGACCCCAAGCCCGAGCACTGAAGCTGCGCACACGCCGACGCCAACCTCGACAACCTTGAGGCAGAGGAGCCTGCCGTTTGATGAGCTCCATGTCTATTGTTCCTACCTTCTGATCGCCAGACTTTGGCTATGTTCGATCGCTGACCCTGTGGCATGATGATCGCCGACCTGTGGCACCGAACCGTGTCGTTCTTTTGGTAGAGGGAATGTGAACTTTGATTTTTTTTATGCGTTTGGGGCCGAAACCTAGGGGAACGGCTGGGAACTCGATCGCGTCTAGGCCGAGAAACCCGCCGGCGCAAACGCCATAAGCCCTTCGCCGGGTGCGCTGGGGGCCAAACGGCTGGAGATGCTCTTAGGATCCTTTTCAGTAGCGCACCATGCAGTACAGTCACTGCCGATCCACATATTATCCACACTACAACATCGTACATTATTGCAGAGGATTTCACAGAATCTCAACCCCCTCTTCTGATGCATCTCAAGAATTCTACAAAACTTTTAGCACCGGGCAAATTCTCAAACTGCCCGGAATGGGAACTACCTGAACAGGTGATACATACACACGGCCCGTGTGAGCAATCAAATTGCCCCGTTGGACGATGTCAGCAGTGACATAACACGAGCTACCAGCCTAGGCCGACGACGCGATCTCTGCGGTGCAGCAGCCCTGCTGCTCTAGGCACCCGTGCTCGTTTCCTTCCGTGGCTGCCGCCGCCCGACGTCGACGTTGATCGGGTTTCAGGCAGACACGGAGAGGTCGACCCGAGTGGGTGGCTGGATCGGCTTCGCATGTGACCGTAGACTTTGCGTACTCATTGGCCCTTCCAAGTTGAGCATCAAGAGAACGACACAAAGCTGCTGATAAGCTCATGCGTGTATGGTATGATAAGTTGATACAGCCTTTTTCCTGAAAAACGAGGAGGAGATCGCTTATCACCCGACCTCTCTTGCTCTCTGCTTTTGTGAGCAAGTTTTCGGCGCGGCCGGGAGCCAGAGAGCTCTGGAGATGTTTGGTGGCGTCCAATAGCGGAGCCAGGATTCGAGTATAAGGAAGACCGAGTACGTATATTGATCTAATCTCGTTGATAATT